GTTTTTTGCAAAAATGGGCTCATGTTTTGTCAGAAAAAAGGGAATGCATAGCCTTTAGGAGGCTTGTAGAGTGCTCCTGGGGACTGGGGGGCAAAAACGAGCAAAAAACAGGGAGTTTTTTGCAAAAATGGGCTCATGTTTTGTCAGAAAAAAGGGAATGCATAGCCTTTAGGAGGTTTATAGAGTGCTTCTGGGGGGTGGGGGGGAGACGAGCAAAAAACGGCCCGTTTTTTACTAATTTTTGCCTTCCCCAGCCCCCAGGAGTACTCTGTAAGCCTCCTAAAGGCTATGCACAGCCATTTTTGCAAAGGGGGTAGAGTTTCAGGAAGCAAAAAATGCTATATTCAGATTTTCACCCTCTTTTTTGAGGGAAAAAGGTGTCTTATACTCTGAGAAATAAGATACCATAAGAGTCTTCCTAGTGTAAAATATTACCATAACAAGTACACTAGGAGGTGATAGCATCTTTCAAATTCTTTTAAAGCAAGCAGCAGTTGCAACACTAATTGTTATTGTAATATATGCTTTGTATTTTGACAGCTAAACTTACCTCTTTAGCTAGTATTACTTCTGCTATTTCCCCTTTTTTAGTAATGTCTTGTTCTATTTTGATAAAAGGTTTATCTGGTGAAAAAGTAAGTGCGATAGGTATAATTTTTGGTGGAGATAAGTCTCCTTCTGTTGAAGATGGGCTTGAAGACATGCATGTCTTGTTGTTAGTCACACATTTAGAACTAGGTAGAAACAGCAAAAAAGCGATTTTTATGCAGAATTCCAAACTATGGAATAATTTATTTCTATTCAGTATATGCAATTGTTTCTTTACCCCAATCCCACAGGAAAACAAAATTACATGAGAAATGGACTGTCCTTAAAACGTACACTAAAATAAATAGTTAAGATACTGTAAGATTTTTGTTTCATTAAGTATCTTTCGCAAAATCCTTAAAACCCATGGACCCATGTTTTCATTATAGTACAGTAAAAAAGACAGCTTCCTGCAGACATATATTGTTGTGGCAAATACAGTTACACCATTTGAACATCATCAACTGCAGCCAACAGAAATCATAAGTCTGTATTGTAATACATCACATTATATGAATTGATTAACTGAATAATTCCAGTGCATTCAGTTGATGGATACCAGTATGGAATGTCATAGAAAACCCTGCACCTCTACTGGGGTGTGTTTCATGTTTTTTTCAGAATGAGAATTAGTAAGGAGTCCAACCAAAGAATCCCTAAGACCAACCGCACCCACAGAGATAGGCAAGACACGAGAATATAAACTGATAGCAAACAGCACTCCTTACTACCATTGATTATGTTACCTATTTAGGGTAATGAATTGTCTGCAAGAAAACAGACAAGCTCGAGAAAGCACCAAGTACCCCTCATTTCAACCGTGAGCCACAAATGTTCTTCTTTATTAGTACCAGAGAATTCCATACTGAAACTGTGTAATTTTCTCTTATAAGAGTTAAACTCACACTCAATATTCAAGTCAAGATTTGAGCCAGACTCTGCTTTGGAGGTAGATAACCAACTTTATCACTTATTTATTTCCCACCTTTATTTTTTTTACAAATAACTCAAGATGGCAAACATATTCAACACATTTTTCTTGTCCTATTTTCTCCACAACAACCCTATGAGGTGAATTGGGCTAAGAGAGAATGACTGTCTTTTATAGCTAAGACAGGGCTAGAACTCACGGTCTCCCACTTTCTAGCCTGGGGCCTTAATCAAGACTAAACTGGCTGTCTATAAACTTGATTAATAAATAATAAATAAAATTAGCATTTTCTGAAATCAGAGATAAGCCCAGGGCATATTAATAAACAATAATAAGGAAAAATGGCAGAAGACGTACCTAATTTCTGTAGTCTTTTTAGAAGACGCACTAGAGATGTGTCGAAGAGCTAAACAATTAGGAGGTGTCATTTTTCTGGGCACTTTTTGGGGGGTCAGTGTTGGAATTCCCGAGATACTTCGACCAACAGAGATAGGCAATATGGAATGCCTTCTGTCAGGAGTCCGTAAAAAAGGCTTCACAGCAGAGCAGGATTTTAATACCGTTCTTTGTAATTGTTTGACAGGTGTGGAAAATGCAACATTGCTACAGAGATTAAGAAAAAACAACAAATTTAGAACCCTAAAATTTCAACTAAAAGTCATTTTTAGTAGTTTATAAATGTTACGTTCATGTACATAGCATATCACAGTGGTTCCAAAAGACATATAGTCCTTGTTTATCGATAGTGATTGGGATCAGGAATTACAATTAAAAAAAATGCAGTTGTAAGGCATTATGTCATGTGACCATGTCAACTTATGACGGCAGTTCTGGCAGTTCCAGATGGGCAAATCCCATGCAGTCACAGTATCCCATGGTCGCCAATTGCAACCCCCTTCCGGCTTGTTTGCCTATAAGAAACTGGCAAGAAAGTCGCAAGTGGTGATCACATGACCATGGGATACTGTGACATTGTAATCATCAGCCATTTGCTGAGCATCCAAATCCTAACCACTGAGATTCTGTGATGGCCACAACTATGAAGACTAAGTACCTCTTGTTTAGCAACATTGTAAGTTTGAATGGTTGCTGCACAAGTGGTGGATCAGCAAGGACTGCCTGCATTTTACAGGGTTCCAAGTCAGATACTGCCCCAAAACCATGGAAAATTAAACTTAACAATTATTTAGTGTAATATTTGAACTGGCAAACCTACAGCTATACTGTGCCTTGATAATTGCCTCAGTTTGAAGTTTCTGACAAGCTTGCAGTTATCTCAATTGCAAGCACAAAACTTATCTAAATATATGGATATTACAACACTGAAGGATAGCTTGACAACGTAGTTATTCCTTTTCCCAGGAAATTAAACAATTTGGATTCTATCAAGGTTTTCAATCATGTTACAGAACAGCTCAATGAGGACTAACAATTGAAATGGAAATCAGTAGCTGTCATCATATAGAAATTTACCTTTCAATATTGCTATTGGATAATACAGTATTTGATTGCAATACTCTGGGGACTTCATTTTCTGAACAGAAAAAATATAAGCAGAAAGTACAGTTGAAGTAGTCATACTAATTTTCTTCGACACATAAATATACAAATGCTTAATTTCTTTTTTATCATCAGCATATTTAGTACAGAATCAACACTCTCCAGTAATTAGCATAATTTAATGCATTAAGATCAATTTCCTTACCTAGCTTTAAGTTTGGAGCTGCTGTTTTAGAGTTAAGTTTAAGACTTGAACTTGTGTTTCCTAATGTGTTTTTTGATAATACTTTTTGAAGACAAGAATCTGAACCTTTCTGCAGATTATTGCTTGCACTCTCAGATGTCAGGGGAGCTTTAAATTTGGGTGTATTCACAGGATTTTCTTTAGCACATTTGGGTGTGGGTTGTTTTCCAGATGCATCAGCGTGGGCAGCATTCACTGACAATCCTTTCATAGGTTTAACTATGGAAATCTTGCTTGTTACAGAAGAGCGCCCAGAGATGTCTGCAGGAGCTTTTGTAATACTTGTTTTGACTAGAAAATAAGAAGACAGCAAAGACTGCATTATCATTACTGTAGTCAAAAAAGTTTTTAAATATCACAAAAACAGGTACCAGTCCACTACAGTAACCTTATACTAAGGATAACAATAAACATGTTTGTATATCAAATCACAAAAACAATGTGCGCTCCTTGTGCAAAATGTACCCCTCTTAGTACAGATGTTTGTCATGATGCTGCATGCATGAAGGAAAGGAAAATAAGACTGCAGCATTCCATGTCCTCAGACAGATAGTATTTTATAAGTGATCAGTCTGGCTGGAGTAGAGTTACTGTATCCCAATACCCTTCACTCAACCCACTGGAGCAATCCTGGAGGATGCTACTGTCACAAAGGTATCTGAAGTCATATAAGAAATTAGGAATACTTCCTTTATTTTACATGTGTCATCCATCTGGGTCACCAAAGTTATTTATATCTTAAAATAGCATCTGAACCTAGTTTTTCTTACTATAAACATGCAAATCATTGTTCTTACTCAATTAGAATATTAATTGACACATTTTTAAGACATTATTACACATGCAATCAAACCATATAGGAGTAATTCAGCCTCAGATCTGTATCATTCTTATATTTATTTGATCCTAACAAATGAGGTTTATTAAATCACAATGCATATGAAGAGCAGTGATTTATTGTATTTGTCTTTTATGTTCTGATATATTTACATTCAATTTTAACATATTTAAAAGCATGTGCTATTAAATTCCACTTTTAAAATCCTGGTAAGATGTTTGTGCTGTTGAAGAATTTACTCAAGAGAAGCACCACTGTCATTGTACTTTAATACAGTTTTGTCTTCTATGAATAGCTGTGGCTCCTGCCTTCCCCACTCAGTGTCCAACTCTTCACTACTTGAATATGTTTTCATTAAGTCACAGTTCCCAATTCCATACTATGCACTAGAATCAAACCACAACGGAATAATTACCACTTCCACTTTTAGGAGAAATTGGCAGGCTTGAATTCAAACTTGAATTCATGCTGGAAATAGAGGAGGAGGAGGAAGATGAAGTATTTCTTCGCATACGAACATTAGGAGGTTTCAGTTGTCTCGTCTTCATTTCCAACTGTAAAGACAATGATAAATGATCTGGCTGTATGCCAAACAAATATAATCAGGTATATTGTTCTGACCATTGTGCTTTGAATTTTTTTCTCATCAAATTGCATCTCTCTACCTGGATAATTTCAATTTTAAGTACAGGTTTATCTCTTCCACTCCATTATAGCAGGGGTCCCTAACTTCTGGTCTGTGGCCCAGTGCCATACTGCAACCTGTTGTGAAATAGGCCATGCAAATCGTGCGTACGTGTGTGTGTGTGAAACCACGCCCCCCTCCCCCCATGCAAGTCCACAGAGGCAGAAAAATTGGGTACTGCTGCATTAATAGCATATGGATTTTCTTCTGTTTATTACAAAAAATAAGGTCAAATTAGACAGAACTTACTACTTTGCAAAACCACATTTCTGCATCAATGGATTTTTTTGCCATGTTGATTCATTGCATGGGATAAAATCAAAACATCTTTCAAAGACACACCAGTTAAAATATATTTTTTAAATTTTAATTTGTAATTTCTAATTGATAGATTCGGAGCAGCTTAAATTATGGAAAAAGTACTTTCAGATAAAATACTGAAGTGCCATGTATTTCAACATCCAAATCCAATTAACAATTAGTTAAAGAGTATTCACCTTGCTGGGAGTAGGAAGAGTTCTCTTGCTTTGCATGGATGAACTGGTACAAAATGACAATTCTCCTGCATCCGAAGTGACGCTTGATTTGTCAGAGAGCAAATCTTCAGATGATCCCATACTGTTTGAATAAATCCTGCTGGAAGAACTAGGCAATTTTCCTTGTTTGGGCTGCAAGATTTGGATTTGAAATATTTGTAAAACAAATAAACATCAAATATATACAAAAATCTCACGTTCCTTCTATTAAATGAAAACTGTCCTGAATAGTTATGCCATCAAACTATAACCAGACCATTAGTTAAGGAGATCAAGTGATATGTTATTAAGAATGCAAATATTAAACATTCCGATATTATGAAATCCAATTCATTTATGCTCTCCCTACTCCCCAATGTAGGCAACTGTCTGAAATACAGTTGGAAGTATAGACTGTATTGAAAAGCATTTTTCTCAAGTAATACTGAATACTTCACACTGAATCAACATGAATTTAAAATAAATCATTTAAGTCTTTACCATAATGGTGTGACCTGTTCAAACTTTGGGATGACTTTGAATTGAAAAGGCAGGTCTTCTGCTTTGCATTGTCTCTTCTTATGAAGACAAAGCTCCTTTCTGCTGCTGACCCATTCAAAATGGCATGCCAGTTCATATTCATGTATGAATACAAACAGACACAAAAAAAGGTTTGAACTAGAACCTTTCAAAGTCTGTTTATTTTAAAGCAGAACTAACTACATTTCAAGAAATTGGGGAAGCAACTGATAAACCATGTTCAAAAGCCTCAGGTTCTCCCCTCTGGCTTTCTTCCTTGGCATCTTTAAAGTTTTGCCCCCCCCCCACCTCCTCTCCAAGTTAAGATTCTAATTCAAATGTCAGGCAAAATGCATTTTTGCAGTAACACCATTAGCAATAGCGATTAGACTTATATACCACTTCACAGTGCTTTACATCCCCAAGCGGTTTACAGTGTCAGCATATTACACCCCCCACCCCCCAGAAGGATGGAAAACTGAGTTAACCACTGCACCACCACAGCTCTTAAGCATTAGAAACTTAAATAAGCAATAAGATTCTTACAGATTAACAGTTGGAAGATACCTTGTAGGTCATCTAGTCCAACCCCACTCCAAACAGACTCTATACCATTTCTTAATAAATTACCCTAGCCTCAAACTATATCTAGCAATCAATGTTCCCTCTAAGCTGCGCGGTTGCGCAGCCGCCCACGTGACAACAAAACACCACGCAGCAGTTTCCAACTGCCACACAGTGGTTTTTGTGAGACGCCTTCCACAATAATAGGAGAGGAGAGCCAGCTGGAGACAGCAATCAGTTCTAGGTCCACAAGGCAGAAAGTAGCTGAGAGAAAGGGTGTGGGGGTTGGGAGAAGGCATGGGACGGGCTCCCAGCAGCGGCTGCTCAGATTTGCTATTTGAGAGGGGGGGGAGGGAGGGAGGAAGGGAGAGAGAGTGCGAGTGTGTGTATCTCTCCTTCCTTCAGCCCTACTCTCTCGCTGGCATCCCGGCCAGATGAGAGGAGCTGCAGAGGGTCTCCTCAAGTCTACGACAGTGAGTCATTCGAGGGAAAGTTGCCTCTTGGAAGGAATGACCCGGCTTGGCTCCTGCCTCGTCTCTCCTGCCTCGTCTCTCCTGCCTCTTTGCTTCTCCGTTCGGTCGTTGAGTGGCAGATCGAAAGTGTGAGCCAAGCTGGGTCATTCCTTCCAAGAGGCAAGTTTCTCATCAAATGACTCGCTGCCCTAGACTCGGGGAGACCCTCTGCAGCCCCTCTCATCTGGCCATCTCTCTGTGTTGTGTATATATACAGGTCTCCATGGATGCAATTGTACAAGCATTTTTTTTTCCTCTTTAAAAGAATTTTTGGATTTCTCCTCACCAAACCTTTAAGATTGAAAGAGTTAGAGTTGAAATATAAAGAGATTGTCAATCGCCATACTGTTAAATTGATAGGCAATTATGGACTATCTTGATTATATCCTCCTTAGAAAGAATATGCTACTGTATGGTTGAGAAAAAGATCAAATTTCATTCCATGGAAACCCAACAAAGTTCATAGGGAGGGTTTCTTTCTATGATGAGCTTCTTGGGTCAACAGTGAATATCAGTTATCAAAAATGTAGGTAGAAAATTAAGCAGACAATAGGCAATTACAAAAAGAGAAGCCAACTTTCTGAATTCTGTTTCTTTGCACTTAGTGATTTATAAAGACTAATGTTCTGAAAACCTGACCTAAATTACTATATATTTTAAATAGCTGTAAAGCTACGCTGAAAAAGTTGTTCTCAACTTTTGTGATAAATTCAATAAAATTCAATAAAAAGAAGGGAATTCTTGATGAACTTAAGGAGAAATGAGGGTATTGGATAGTAAATGGACAAATAAAATTACCAAAGAGAATATTTGCAACTCAGGGTTGAAATGAGATGTTCTCTTACTCTTTCCTCTTCCTCTCTTTTCTCTCTGTCTCTCTCATCCTTTCTCTCTTCTTTCTCTCTCCTTTTTCATTCTTCTGTCACTTTCTCTCTCCTCCCTTTGCTCTCCTCTTTGTCTCTTTCTGTCTCTCTCCCCCTCTTTGTCTCCCTTTATCTCTCCTTCTTTCCCACTGTTCTGTCACATTCCCTCTCCTCCTCTGTCTCTTTCTGTCTCTCTTCCCTCTTTTTTCTTCCTCTCTCCCACTCCTCTACCACCCAACCTGTCCCCATACTTATCTTCGACTGATCATGTTTGCAATAATTTACCTTTTCTAAATAGGCGCAGTTCCCTTACCGGATCCCTCGCTCACTCAAACACACACACACACACACACCATTTTTCTCCATTCCAATTCAGATCCTATAAATCAATTGCTCTGTGAAATATCTGTGAAAAAAATTCAGGTGCTCAAGCATGAAAATGTGCTGCTCAAACACTATACTTTTCCGCACACATGAAAAAAAATTAGAGGGAACATTGCTAGCAATACCCACCACTTTCATCTAACATTCTGACTAATCCAGGAAATATGCAATGTTTCAGTTTCAAACAATAACCTTAAAAATCAGGCACACAGAGCTGCATGCTTTCTCAAAAACAGAAACATAAATATCACCAAACCCATAGATTTAAATACAAATTAAGACAATAAATTTTAACTAGAATTAGATTGTAATATTGTGACACAACTTACAGCTTAGATATAATGCAAAAAAAAAATCTTTACCTCCCCTGCTATTAAGTTCTTATTTCTAGGTGCAGGTGATGTTTTTGCAGTCTGAAATTTGCTTCTATTTTGAAGGCTTGTGTTATTCTTTGCTTGGGGTGAGGATACAGAGTGCATTTTAGGTAACTTATCTGTTTTAGCAGGACTTGGTGTGTTCAGAGAACGTGGGCGGTCCATTATTGTGACAGGTTGCCTTAAACGCTTCTGAAGTTGACTGATTGGGCTTTCCCATAGACAGTATGTCTCTCTTCTAGGGGTTGTTGGTGTTTTATCTGCCACTATTCCTTTTTCAAAGATTTTCAGTTTTGACTTTGATTCTTTCACAAACTTTTCAACCACCTCTGTCTTTCCCTCCCTCGGATGAATAGTATTATTTTTGTCTGGTTTGTTTCCACTTTTAAGCTGGAAAGCTAGCAAGCGAGCTTCTTTAAATATTTCCACAAATTTATCTCCAGCAGGAGGGCTCCAAGGTAGGTCATGTGACTGAGTTTTATTTTGACTCTCTTCCTGGGATTCAAGTCGCACAGCAATACACTTTTCTTTATGGTTCATTGGTCCAACAAAAACTTCATCTTCATTTTCACTATGATAGAGAGAAATTAAGTCAGGTAACTGCACATATTTCTGTCTGTTCTTAATGCACCTTGATTTTAACGCTAATTTTACCTTGTGGGAGACAGTGAAAGGTCAAAATCAAATTTTTCTTCACTCAGGAGGTGAAAATCTGAAATTACAAGAATAATTTATCATACACTACTATTATAACATTTATAATGCTTCTTAGTGAGATGGGTGGCATATAAATTTAATAAATAAATGTATCTAGGATTCACTTTTTTCCTACAGAAATCAAATTATTATTCCATACACCTTCAAATTATTGTACCATATTGCCGCAAATAGGCATTGGTTTCATGAACTTTCAGTTTAATGGATTGACTCTGTTTAACAGACATTCACAGGATAGGAACATCTCTTTATTCATATTAATTGAATGAATGAGAAATGGTGTGGAAGCTATGTTAATAGAATTATAATAGGAAAGGTGCTAGCAAGTCAGCTTCTTTTGAACTTACATCCTAAAAAAGTTTCAATGCAAGAAGTGTCTGTACATATAGCAAATGGCTATACATTAGTATTAACAGTAAGCAAAAGTAATGCTAAATAAATATATTTATATAAATAAAATTACCTTTGGTTATTTTCATTAGGGATTTTAAACACTATACTCAACATGACCATAATTGAGTCCAAAATTTATGTTGCTAAATGAGAAATTTGTTGAGTTTAGCCCCATTTTACAACTTTTCTTGCCACATTTGTTAAGTGACTCACTGCAGTTGTTTACATTAATAAAATGGTTGTAAAATGAATCTGGCTTCCCCATTGACTTTGCTTGTCAGAAGGTTGCAAAAGGTGAT